TGCCCACCATCAAGAACGGTTTGCCGTTCCAGGTACGAGTTCCCGTTTGATGACACGCACACATCCTGTTCTGACCACAATTTTTTTAATCACTAGACCACAACGCAGTCAACACCGGCCCCGCCTTTCCCGTACGCCGGCCCCCACCGCCTCTCCGACGCCTCGGCCCAGACGCTCCTCGCCACATGGAAGGCCCACCCACCCGCGCAACGCGCCAACGACGACGCCGCCCACGACTGGCAGACGCCCGCCTCCCTCGCGCCGCCGCTCGACCCGCTCTGGCACGACCTCTTCCTCGCCCGCCACGGGCGCGCGGCGCGCCTGCTGCACGCGCGGCACTACCTCGGCACGCCCGTGCCGCTGCTCTTCGACCGCGCGCGCACGCGCGTCGTGCTCAGCGTCGGCGGCGTCCGCTTCGTGTGGTGCCCGCATCACGACCACGATGATGACGCGCGTGATGGCGGCGGCGACGGCGACGGCGACGGCGACGGCGACGGCGACGGCGACGGCGACGGCAACCTCGACGTGCTCGTGCGCGTCCCGCCGGGACTCGCGCTGCGCGACGTCGCCGCGCGCCTGCACCACGGCGATGCCACACGTCGCGACGCGCCTCCGCTGCCGTTCGCGGACGCGCGCGTCGAGCCGCCGGTGTACGCGGTCCCTGTGCACGAGCTCTGGGAGTGGGAGGTCGAGGCGCTGGGGCGCAACCGGTGGGCGGAGACGAGGCGCCGCGGGGGAGAGGTGCATCCGGACTGGTTGGTGCTGCTGCTGCTGCCGCCGGGAGGACGGGGCGGGTGCGCGGGACGCGGGGTGCAGTGTGTGCCTCATTAGCGCGCGGGAGCCGAGCGTCGGTTTTTGGTGTCTGCCCCTGAGGAGAGGTGTTTCGTTCTGCGATCGGCTTGGTGCGGAGAACGGCAATGTGGCATAGGAAATGTACTATGGCGTGCAGTAGAGTGGGTGTGCTTCGAGGTGAGATCTCATAAGTCGAAAAGGCCATTCTCAAATGCGATAACTTACGCCACGAACTTTCCCAAGAAGTCACATTTTCAACGTGTTGCAGGTATGCAGCATGCTGCGGTTGCTCTGCGCCGCTGACATCCGCTCCCAGGCCACGGCTCCCTTTAGGGCGTGCGCCGCAAGTTGCTGGGCATTCCTTCGCCGCCGTCATGCGTGTATTGCGATTTGCTACCGCCTGTTCAACTGATCTGTGCCTTGAGGTATAAGCTGGGCAGCCGTGGTGCAGAAGAGAACACATTAGACTTGTCCACAGGAATCTTATGATCCGCCGCGAACACGTTTCAATGAAAGAATAAACCGCTTATTACCAGTGCCTTGTCTCGCATTGTATGACACTACTTGCTCAGTTGCTAGCTAGTAAGAAACCTAAGTGCATCCGAGATATAACAGCCTTTCCCACGGTCAGATAATGTAAAGAATTTGAGGTAAGCGGCTTACCTCAGCCCGTGATCAACAGCCACCACGACCATAACGTTCATCACACACAATCACAGTGCAAAGTGCTGCTTCGCGCCAAAGATTCCTGGAACGCATGTTACTGTGTATTTGATGCGTGATGGTTCGTCAGGGCGACGTCGAACGGCATGCGCTGACGATTGACCAACAACATGGTATGCTGCATGCGCCTTTCTCCATCGCCCAGCCCTTCCTAGTTGACGAGCTGTTGCACACAGTTAGAGGAAAATCTGTACAAGATGGCAAAGTTGCTGCATGTCATCTTCCGACGTCCGCAAAACTGCCTGAAGATGAACTTTTTCTCAACGAAAGAGACATCCCCGCAGTGCGTACACTCGGGTTTAGAAGCACGAAATGCCGAATCTGTCTTGTCTTGTGCTCAGCTTCTCACGCACTCAGGTACCCGTTGCATTCCTCGTCTGAGACCTCTCGAGGCTGCTCTACGACGAGCTGTACGCGCTCGTTTCGCCTCAGTTTGCGGCCCGTCCGGTCTGTGCGAGGCGCTGCTCGTTGAGCTGAGAAGATCGGCGTGCGAAATAGTCCTAGGAATGCGCAGTCCAGGCCACCGGTGTCGCCAGCTGCACGCGCGTATTGTGATACTTGAACATGTTACCGCGTGGTCAGGGCTCAATGCCCGCAAGACCAGCCGAAAAAGCCCGTCCCAAGCCGAGCCTGGCAGCTGGCTCAGGGCCGGACTAGTGGTGAATCTCAGTCTGGGTCTGATCCAGGCTTGGATGCACAGGTTCTATCGCTGTCCCCTGTCCCTTCGAATGGTTCATACTATGGTAAGTACGATGTAAAATGCGCGTACTAATAGAGATATACACCTTCTAGACCGAACGGCCTCCACCAAGTATTACTGCACGTCATCACCAGATATTCGTCAGGCTTCGCAGATTGTACGGCAAGATACATCTTCATTGCACAAAGATGCCACGCTTCTGCCCGTCTCGATCATTCCATTGCGAACCATACCCTCGACGTGAGCACACTGACAAAGCAAATTTGGAGGCGCATGGCTATAAAGGCGAAGCTGGAATAGCTTGCTCGTCTCGGCTCAAGCCAAGTTCTGTTGAAAATGCAGGCCGCCATCGTGGGCTACATCGTCGAAAGGAGGCAAACGCGCAAGTGTTCGCAGTCTATCCGGTGGGTATTCATTTACACTACGAATGTCTCGGGTACAAACGTGGGCACAATATCAGATAAATACAAGCAAACAACATATGCACGAGGCGCCGGCGAACACGAGCTCGAAACATGATCCAAGAATCCAACTCCAAGCCCCTCGTCTTCGAGCAGCACAGATGATCTCCCAGCTCTTCGTCGCAGTCTACCTCGCGCTCTTCGCGGCAGCCACGCCGCTGACTGTTCGTAAGAGCCCTGTGACGATCTCGCTTTCCCGGCACTTCAACACAACCGGGTCCAAGACGATTCTGGAGTTCGACCAAGCGAGAGCAAAGTTCCTCAAGCAGAGTGCCGCACAGAAAGGCTCTGTATCAGCATCCTCCGATGCCAACGTTTCCGTTCCGGTCACGAACGGAATGGTCTCTTATACCGCGGCGGTTAGCTTATCTCTTAGCTCTCTATTGGACGCTCTATGCTCATGTCTGACCCTCAAGGTTGATGTCGGTAGCCCTCCGACTACATGTAACTTGTAGTGCAACCTTGCGGAGTCGTTTCTAAAGCCTTTTTCTGTCGTATAGTCAACCTTATCGTAGACACTGGTAGTTCCAACACCTGGGTTGGCGCGGATCCCAACAAGCCTTACACGCCGACATCTACCTCTCAAGATACCGGCGAACATGTGGTGCGTAGGAATTCACTCTTCAATCTGTTGTCCCGCTAATTCATTGATTCAGCTTGTTTTATACGGCTCTGGCCTCTTTTTTGGTAAGCAATGTTTGTTCAGACAAGCACTCCACTAAGCACTAGATGTCGCAGGCGAAGAGTTCATCGACCAAGTGAGCCTCAGCGAAAGCTTGACAATTCAACAGCAATCTATCGGTGGTTCCGAGCTTACCGAAGGCTTTAGTGGAGTAGACGGCATCCTAGGGTAAGTGATGTTGCACGCACTGAAGGACACTGTCTTATTCTACTCGCAGCATCGGACCTACCGACCTTACCGAAAGTTGGTTTTACATCCCTCTTATCAAGATGTCTACTCATTTGGTGCAGACACTACCATGGACGGTGGGACGGTGCCTACAGTCTTGGACAATGCGTTCTCCTTGGGTCTTCTAGACTCAAAAGAGATAGGTATCTCTTTCGAGCCGACGACTACCGTTTCAAGTACGAACGGAGAGCTCACATTCGGTGGCATCGATTCGAGCAAGTTCACTGGTGACCTTCTCTTTGTGTAAGCATCCTCTACGTCTCTCGCCATGCATTTATGGAATAGTCATATGCTCGCCTTTAGACCTATCACTTCCACTTCGCCTGCTAATGAATTTGTGGGCATCGACCAGTCCGTCGCATACGGGTCCACAACCATACTCAGTGAGACCGCCGGTATCGTTGACACTGGTACCGCCCTTCTTCTCCTGGCCTCCGGTAAGCCGCTTCATCTTGGTGAGATCGCGCAGATGTTGAATGTTATGGACAGACGCCATTGCTACCTACCAGAATCTCACGGGTGCAGTGCCCGACGAGAATACGGGCCTGTTGACTCTCACTGCTACGCAATTCGCCAGCTTGGAGAGCTTGTTCTTTAATATCGGCAATGTACGTCTTCGTGGTCTGGAATGTACTCATGCCCGACTCAACGTCATTTCAGACTACCTTCGAATTCACCCCGAACGCGCAACTCTGGCCTCGTTCCGTATGTCACCAGTCTACATTCTCTGCCAGAATTTGCTAACTTGCACCTTCGCAGTTGAACACTGCCATCGGCGGCAACGCGGACAGTATCTACCTTATCGTCGGTGATATTGGCTCGGAATCCGGCGAAGGCTTCGACTTCATCAACGGCCAGACCTGGTTAGAGAGGTTCTACTTCGTCTTCGATGCTGGTAACTCTCGGGCGGGATTCGCAACAACGGAGTTCACCGATGCTACCACCAACTGAGGTCGTAGGATGCTGTCTGTTTTGGCCCGTGGTTTCTTTTGGTCAGGTTTAGGAAGACCCGTGCCCATCCTGTTCGGATAAAGGCTGGTATTATGACTGCGGAATACAGTGAAAATGGCTTGGACATCGCGCATAAAGTAAAAGTTGCTCATTTAACGATCATTTGAGGTAGTGGTGCCATGCAAACGAATGGATTGCTCAACCCTTGAAGGCAGCAGGTTACTAGGTTAAGAGACGCAATATCACAGACGCGGCGGCCGGCGCAGTGCGCACCGCGCGCGGAGCTGCCCTGCCGCCCACCGCGTCGGCGAAGCCACAAGCATCGTGCAGGGGCGTGCGTGGGGCCTGAAGCTACTCGCGAACTGCGAGGACTGGGGAATATACTCTGCGATTGCCGGCGCGGCGAGGAAGTCATATGGGCACAACAACAATCTGGAGTTGTACCTCAGCATCCAGGCCGAGGCGACGCTGCCACCGGCCCTGGCTCGGACATCTGCTGTGGGTGCGCAATTCTCGCCATTGCGCTCGCGCGTGGGGACCGGTTCAAAGAAACCGACTAGATATGCTCTCTCCTGCGCCGCACTGACTGTGCCTGAGCCAGCGGCGAACCTCATCGCGCGGAGCTTCCAGGACCGCCCGCGATTCGAACAACGACGCTGCCACACTTGCTCAAGCACCACCGCCCATGACACTACCCGGACAGCGGTGTACGCGATTTTTTCGTTCTTCATGCCCGCGGCGACGAAGGACAACCTCACCAAGCTCGGCATCGCGGGTCAGTATGCGAACATAGGCGGCAAGCATTCGCAGGTGTTGCCCGCGCCGAAAGTTATCGACTTGCTACTGGGCCGCGGTGGTGATGTGCATCCGGACTGGCTAGTGCTGCCGGTAAACCGTGTCAGTTGTTTAGGGCGCAAGATCCAGTGTGTGCCTCACTAGCCAGCAGATGTAGCCTTTATCCGCATGAACCTGCATGGCTGACACAGTAAATGTTGAACCTTAGTGTGGGAATTAACTGCGCTTGATAATATAAGCCATCACTCTTAGGACAGCTTATTATCTTTTGTTACCTGCCAGCGCTTCAGCCTAATCTTGGCTAGCTTCGCGGTTCCGCGAGCTGTCCGCTCACCGCGTCGACTCGCAGTGGACTCGTCTAAAGGTAAGCACTCTGCAGCATCAGCGTTTGTATGGTTATATGAAATTTGCAGAGCTTGCTAATATTAATGCTGCTTTTCTGCTCCATATCGCTGTGAGCTAGTTGCAATTCGAAACTGACGACCAGTCTGGTCCAGCCGGCCCTGCTCTGCCGTGGACATTATCGACCAGCGTACACAGCAGATTACAGGGCTTCATCGAAGAATTCCCTATTGAAATACGTGTGGCCGTCATGGATTGGGCCTCCGACGGCTTCCCCGCGCTGAAGACGTACGCTGTAAATTGCGAAATATGTGTTGCTGGAGTGTTCCTTCGTCGCGGCATCGCGAATTGCAACCCGTTTCCACCTGTTCGACTGTAGTCTGAACCTTGGAGCATAAAATGAGCAGCCGAGATGTAGCCATTAGATTCCATTCGAACCATCCAGACATCAACTACAGGTACGCTGCCTTGCAGCGTCCGACGCCCCCCAGGATGTTAACGTCGCAGTCCTTGCGCTGGCTCTGAAACATGAAGACATTTCATCACCTGTTCAGGTATAGCGTTTGTACCCTGACTATAGCGTTTGCACCCTGACACAGTGTTCGCACCCCTACAGCACTTGTATAGGACTTTATCTGTGTGGAAGGCATGTGATCCGCATTTCGGCGCATTTATTTAGCATGAGCCGATACACCAATACCTCTACTCGTGACACTGAAAAATCTATCATCCTCGTCCGCAGCCTGTCACCAGGATGCCTGTTTGTTACCAGCGATTATGATGTATACCCAGGTCAGGACATACCCACCCACGATACGCTAGAGCAACTTTGCGAAGTCTGAGGCGCTTACTATGAAGCTTGCATCTTCTGAGTGCTCGTTGCTGCCTGCGTTCGGGCATAATCTCTTCGCTACCTCAGGTGAGCTTTGAACATTCCATGCCTAACATCGACCGATAAAGCCGAGTTGATGACTTTGAGAGAGTTAATAATGAGAAACGCGCGTGGCTAAATGGTATCAATAGAATTGCTGTCGTATGATGGCTCTCTCTGCTGCACGAGACACCTTATCATCTACGGCCTGGAAACGTACCTGTATATGGATGTTGAGCGGGTGGACCAGCGGACCAAATGAGAAAAAGGAATCCTATCTTATTGTGCACATCCTGAAGGCCCGGTGACTAAAAGCTGGGGCCGCGTGTTATATAAGCTGCGTACATGCGTGAAAGCTTAGTGAAAGCTCTAGTGCTCTGGTCTACTTACTTAAGTTAGGCCAATTGAACTAATGGCGTACCGGAGATGTCCGAATATTTCCCACAGTCAGATAGAGTAAGAAACTCAGATAAGCGGCTTACCCCCGCCTGTGACTGACCATCACAACCATACGTTCATGACACACAGGCAAAGTGACCGAGATCCAACCTATACACGCTGGGTACATAATCAGCATCCAAAACACATAACCTTCCCCGCTCATGATCGTTCTGTTGTCACTTGTTTGATATTCACCCACGGGAGGATTATCTCTGCCTCCGACAACCACTCTATTCACGTGTATGACCCTATCACAGGAAACCTCATTCACTCGCTTGACGGTCATAAAGGCGGTGTATGGTCGATAGCAGCCACCAAAAATACCTTGGTCAGTGGTTCCACGGACCAAACAGTCCGGGTTTGGGACCTTACTACGGGGCGGTGCACCCTCGTCTTTGGAGGGCATACGAGTACCATTCGTTGCCTGGAGATCGTCAAGCCTGAGTGGATCGATGTAGAGAACGAGAGCGGGACGATCATACGCGAGAAATGGCCAAAACGACCATTGATCGTGACGGGTAGTCGCGACCACTCACTGAGGGTGTGGTCGCTGCCCCGGCCAGGCGATGCCGAGTACAAAAGTACGGAGGAGTCCGAGATCGATCCTTCCGAGGTGGGTAGCTCGTCAATTAGTTATCTGGATCGCATATTTACGCCTTGAGCAGGAGGAAGTTGAAGGTAACCCATACCATCGCCTGCACCTGAAAGGCCATGACGGTGCGGTTCGCGCCCTCGCTGCTCAAGGCCGCACCCTTGTCTCGGGCAGCTACGACTACACTGTACGAGTATGGGATATCATCTCTGGAACTTGCAGGTGGGTCTTGGAAGGACATACCCATAAAGGCATGTCGCATGTCTTCGCTCAATGCTGTGCCCCGGAGCTTACCAGTCGCACGCAGTCTACAGCGTTGTTCTAGATATTCACCGCAATTTTGCCTGTTCTGGCTCCATGGACGGCACCGTCCGCGTCTGGGACCTCAACACCGGTCAAAACCGCCATACGCTTCAAGGACACACCTCGCTTGTCGGCTTGCTCGGCTTGTCGCCGTCCTATCTCGTCTCCGCTGCTGCTGACGCGACGCTGAAGGTGTGGAACCCCGAGAGTGGTGAACTCCAACACACGCTAGCCGTCCACCAAGGAGCCATCACATGCTTCCAGCACGATGAGGACAAAGTCCTCAGCGGCTCCGACGGCGCGCTGAAGATGTGGGATATCCGCGAGGGCACACAAGTCCGCGACCTGCTTACTAATGTCACGGGCGTGTGGCAAGTCGTCTTCAAGGGCCGCTGGTGTATCGCTGCTAGCAACCGCGATAACGCAACGGTGCTCGACGTATGGGACTTTGGCATGGAAGAAGGTGATGAGCGGGAAGACGAGCCCCCGGACGGCATCTACGATGACGACACGGACGATGAGGACAGCGATCAAGCCGAGGGCGAGGCGATGGATTAGAGCTTGTAGCTTTAAAGCTCAATCCTTTAACTGTCGCGCAGGCGCTCGTTTGAATATTTGAAAGGAGGCGACGACTTTACGTGGACGTCGGGCTTATTGTCGTTCGTCCTAACAGGCAAAAGGATTGTTTGTTCTGCACTGTGTTTGGTACGAGGAATGACATTAAAATTAATATCGAGAGACCACATACAATGATGATGCTTCACCCTATAACCAGACCGTGCAGTGGAGTGCTTGCGCACCAAGGAGGCGAGTCGTCAAACCAGACGGCACAGTTCCCAAGTGCTGCAACAGAGAATGCCATAAACTCGCCTAAGAAGTTCCACCTCGATATGCTGTGAGTGCGCTGCTGTTCTCTTCGTGCCGCTGACATTCGCGCACAGACCGAACACAAGGTGCACAAGGTGCGGAGCGACCCTTCGTGATGCGGGATGGAGTAAATATTCGGCAAAACACCGACAGGCGCATGCTGCATTCAAGCGCTGCTACCGCCAGCATTTTCACGGCGATGTCATGGCGCACCGAGTCGTCGTCGACTGGGCCTCCGACAGCTTCCTTATGCTGAATGCGGACTCTGTAAGCTGCCGGGTGTTCCTTCGCCGTATTCAATCTGCCTGCGCCTTGAGTATAAACTGAGCAGCGGAGGTGTAGTCATGAGACTCCCATCGGTTGATGCAGGCATCAGCTACAGATACGCTGCCATGCAGTCCCCGACCAGGACAATTTTGGGTGTTGACCCCGCAGTCGCTACGCTGATTGTGAGACACGGGTACATGTCACCACGTGTTTAGGCATGGTTTACGTACCCTTGTGGCACTCGTACCAGCCACGTGGACGGCATGTATCAACGCATTTGTTCGGTTGACGATGTATGCAGAGGAGTCTCGTGCCCCTAGATACGGCTTGGCCTCCAGCACCCGGCAAGAGCTGACATATCAAGGCCTCCACTCGTGACATACAAGAATTTACCGTCCTCATCCTCAGGACCGCAGCATGTCGTCAGGCTTTTTGCCAGGATGCTTGGAGGATTTTCTGCTTATCACAGCGATCGTGGTGTATACTCGGGTCCGGACGCGCCGACGGCACGCTGGAACAACTTTTGCGAAGCTTGCAGCGCCTGATAAGGCTGTTGTGCACCCCATCTTCAGCGTCCGTCGCTGCCTTCGCCCAGCAGGGCATGACCTCAGTCGCCGCCTCAGGTGAGCCTTTAACATATGTTTGATCAATAAATCTGGGCCGATGATTCCGGGGGCGTTATGAGATATGTACAACTAACAGGCTTTCTTTACTGTACGAGACGATCAAGCGTTTACGGCACCTGTGTAGTGGTGAGGGGAGGGTCAGCCGGTTAAAATAGCCTATGTCATCTTGCACATCCTACTAGTCAAAAGGCTCGAGACAGCGTGTTATGAGCTGCGCATATGCGCATCAATTGCTTGATGGTACACCGGATATGTCCGGAATATTCCCACGGTTAGACAGTTTAAGAAATTTAAGCAAGGCAGCTTACCTCAGCTTGTGACCAACTACCACTACGGCCACTTGTTCATGATGTACAATCACGGTGCAAGAAATTGCTTGCACAAAAAATCTCTGGAACGCACGTTGCTGGGTAAGTCATAATTCGTCAGAGCGACGCCGTACGGCGTACGCTGATGGGCAGCGTCTTCCACATGGTACGCTGCATGCGCTTCTCCCATTGCCTCCCCAGTTGACGAGTTGTTGCACGCAGTCAAATGAAAGTCTGCGCAAGATGGCGAAGTCGCCGCACGCCATCGGCAGATGTCCGCAAAACTGCATGAAGACGATCTTCTTCTCAATGAAAGAGCTGTCCCCGGAGAGCTTGCACTCGGGTTTAGAAGCACAGGATGCCGAATTTGCTCGTTTTTGCGCTCAGGTTCTCACGTATTCAGGTACCCGTTGCATTCCTCGTCTGAGACCTCTCGAGGAGGCTCTACGGCAAGCTGTGTATGCTCATTCTACTTCAGTTCGCGGCCCGTCCGGTCTATACGGGGCGCTGCTCGTTGAACTGAGAAGGTCAGCATGCGAAATGGTCCTGGGAATGCGTAGTCTGGGCCAACGGTATCGATCAACTCCTACGACGCTCATCTGTCATTAGCTTCGGGTCCTAATCACTGTGTCAATTACCAGTCATGCGAAGGCGTTGGATGTCTAAATGGCATCTGCCGGCGCAGCACAGCGTTCGCGACTTCAGTTTTGAGGTTGACTATCTAATGGCACGCGACAGCTGCGCACGCATATCACGATACTTGGACATGTTGTCCCATGGTTCGACATAAGACATAGCTCGGTGGGTCTCGCCCTTCAAGCATTCTGTCTATCTTGAGCTTGAACTCCGAACTGTTCAGAACCATCTTAGAACTGTGCGGCAGTACATGTAGCCTACCAAGCCGCGTTGCCTAACATGATCAATTCTAACGACTCACACACCCTTTTCCGCTTTCCCATGGGAACATAGCTTGTTGGATAGCCGTATTGAGCAGCCAAGCTCTGGTATCGTGACGCCAAGTCAGAAGGACGTCCTGTTCCGCCTCACCATGAGGTCGCGACGCTTCTCAGAAGCAGAGTCAGTATCATCTGTCGAGTCTTCGCTAGATATTAGTCTCGTCCCCAGCCATTCCAGCTCGCCCGGAATACTCCGGGCAGACCGCCCGGCGGACTTCGAAAAACCGAAGTTCGGTCCTGACCTATAAAAGACTGTACTTCGGTTTTCGAAGTCCGACGCAGTCTGGCTCGGCTCCGTCCGAGAGCTGCTGACGCGGATGGTTTACGAGACTAGCTAGATAGAGCGATTCTCCAGGAACATACGCCTGCTAGTCACGTTGACTGCCACTTTTGGCGCTACGGATGATCTTCGTATCTCCACTAACCATACCTGGACGATGTATACTTGCAGCGTTATCAAAAGACGCTGGTCTTGTGTGTACTTCTTGCCCTTTCTCTGACACAGCCACGTTCTCACCTCATGTTAACCTCCGCAGATTGTGCAACAAGACACAATTCCATCGCGCAAAAATGCTACTCTCTCACTCGTCTTGATCATTTCGATGTGAACCTGTACCCCCATCGTGGGCACACTGACAAAGCAAACCCAGAGCCGCATGGCTATAAAACCGAAGCTGGAATGTCCTGCTTGCTTCAGCTCAGGCCGAGTTCCTCGTCTCCGAGCAGCATAGATGTTTTCTCAGCTCTTCGTCGCAGTCTACCTCGCACTCTTCGCGGCAGCCACTCCGCTGACCGTTCGCAATAGCCCGGTGACGGTCTCGCTTGCCCGTCGCTTCAACCAGACTGGGTCCAAGACGGTTCTGGAGCTCGACCAAGCGAGAGCGAGGTTTTTCCAGCGCACCACCGCTCGGAAGGGCGCCAAAGCCTCAACTTTCGCCGCTGCCGCCGATTCTGACCCTGTCACGAACGGAGCAGTCAGCTACACCGCGGAAGTCAGTCCGTCTCTTTACTCTTTACTGGGCATCCTATGCTCATGTCTAGCCCTCAGGTTAATGTTGGTAGCCCCCCGACTACTTGTAGGTGGTAATGCAGTCTTGTGAAGATATGACCTAAAGCCCGCTCTTTGGTCGTGTAGTCAGCCTTATCGTGGACACCGGCAGTTCCAACACCTGGGTTGGCGCAGATAGGGCTTATACAGAGACATCCACCTCCCGTGATACCGGTGCCGAAGTGGTGAGTAGGGCGTGTGCCGGCCTGTTACCGTGCTGATCCCGTGATTCAGGAGGTCGAGTACGGCTCTGGGTTCTTCTTCGGTGAGTCTCAATGTTTTCTGAGAAACGTTGTATGCTGTTAAGTCGAATATCTCAGGCGAAGAGTTCATCGACGAAGTGAGCGTTGGTGGCTTGACGATTCCACAGCAATCTATTGGTGTTGCCGAGTTCTTCGAAGGCTTCAGCGGAGTAGATGGCATCCTGGGGTAAGCAAAATTTCCGCGCTGCGTGCCGAAGGATACCATCTTATCCCACTGGCAGTATCGGACCTACCGACCTTACCGAAGGTCGGTTTTACAAATTTTCGCCTTGATTGGCCGCTGATCCAGCACAGGCACTACGTCGAGCGGCGAAACTGTGACGGTGCCTACGTTCTTGGACAATGCGTTTTCCCAAGGTCTTTTGAGCTCAAAGGAGATAGGCATTTCCTTCGAGCCGACCACCAGCGACTCAATCACGAACGGAGAGCTCACATTCGGTGGCACCGACTCGAGCAAATTCACTGGTGAACTTCACTTTGTGTAAGCATCCCCTATGCTTCCCGCCGTACATTCACCCTGTACTCAAATGTTCGCCTTCAGACCTATCACTTCCACTTCTCCTGCTAATGAGTTTGTGGGCATCGACCAGTCCGTCGCATACGGGTCCACAACCATCCTCAGTGAGACCGCCGGTATCGTTGACACTGGTACCACCCTTACTCTCCTGGCCTCCAGTAAGTCTCTTCGTCTTGGTGATATCGTACGGGTAGTGAACGCTGTGGACAGACGCCCTTGCTACCTATGAGGAGCTCACAGGCGCAGTCCTCGACGATGTGGACACAGGTCTGCTGACCATCACTGCTGCGCAGTTCGCCAACTTGCAGAGCTTGTTCTTTACCATCGGCAGTGTACGTCTTCGGTCTCTGGAACCATCCTTATTCCCGACTCAACGTCATTTCAGACTACCTTCGAGTTCACGCCGAACGCGCAACTCTGGCCTCGTGCTGTACGTCACCAGTCTACATCCTTTGCAGGATTTGCTAATTCGTGTCTTCACAGTTGAATACTGCCATCGGCGGCAACGCGGACAGTATCTATCTCGTCGTTGGAGACCTTGGCTCGGACTCCGGCGAAGGCCTCGACTTCATCAATGGCCAGACCTGGCTGGAGAGGTTCTACTTCGTCTTCGACGCTGCTACCCCCCAAGCGGGATTCGCAACGACACAGTTCACCGATGCCACCACCAACTGAGGCTGCAGAGGGCGCTGTCTGTTTCAGCTCGTATTTACTCTTGGTCTGGCAGACTTAGGAACAACAATTGTACTCGTAATGATTGAACAAGGACTGGTATCTCGACTATGAAAATGTATTGCAAACGATCTGGGAGCCATGCATGAAGACATTTGTGTTCCTGATAGTCATACTGAAGTGATTATGCGACGCGGAAGGCGGTACTCGTCAAGAGACGCAGCACTGATCGCAAGTCGCGGCCGCCGGCGCTTCGAACCGAGACGGCGTCGCCACGTCAAATATTACGATTAGTTGGCACAGGTCGTTTCACGACCACCATCCCTGCAATTACGCCACATAAAAGGACTTATAGGTTACGATGGCACCTCCGATCCAATGGTCTTCTCCACGGACTGACATGCATATACTAACCCTCGATTGGGAAGCCTCTTGGGAGAGCGACTTCAAACGGAAATACGACCCGCCAGAACGCCTTCTAGCGTCGAACAGCCCGTCTCCCCAGCGAAATACCGGCGTTCGGCATGAACGACAGCACGCAGCTCATGCGCACAGACCATGGTGTTGCACCGCGAGCAGTGACCCGATTCTTCGCGACTTGCTTTCTCCCGGATGGAGGCGAGGTTTACTTCACTCTGCTGGAGTCATTCCTCGTACCACCTGCCGCGCGCACTTCACCCATTCCATCCCCTACGCCCCGCCCCGCCATTGACTGACTGTTAACTCTTTCCCGGGCGTCGACTGAGGGATGTTTCTCATCGAGCTTGTCAAGGACATCTTCCTACTCTTCGTGAGCCTTCTCCAAGCCACGTATGCTGCAGCTCTGATGATGACCTCAAGACAGCACGGCCAGCTGAGACCCAAGGGTTCACGAAGCCCAAGATTTCAGGGACCTTTTCTACGCCAGCATACAGCTGGTCCTCCGCGAGACGTCGCGAAATGGACGTGTAAAAACATGAAATAACTCGACGGGGCTTCACGGGTCCACAGCTGTGATTATTGCCATGTAAAGCCTAACCAGAGAAAGAAACTACAGGCACGTAGCGTGTGCCGGAAAGCGACATACCGCGACGGTGAAGATGCTGCACTCAATACGCCGACATTTGCAAAAACCGCTTGCAGATGAGCTGCTTCTGGTGAGGGAGCTATTCCCGCAGATCGTGCACCCGGGTTGAGAAGCACGATCTGCGGGGGGTCTACTCTGCTCTGTGCCTGGAACTTCATGCTTTCAGGCGCCCTCTGCATTCTTCTTCTGCTGGAAGCTCTCGAGGCAATTGTGCGACGAGCCAGACGCTCTTGCGTTACTTCAGTTCGCGGCCCGTCTGGATTGTGCGAGATACGGCTCGTTGAATTGAGAAGCTCGGCGTACGAGATGGCTATGGGAACGCATAGCTAAGCTCGACGATGTCTCTCAGATTATGTCTCGTTCGTCTGTCGTAGTTCCGTGTCTTGGTCGCGGTACTACTTGCTGGTCCCGCAAAGATATCGCACGTTGAGGCATTATCTGCTATCTCAGCGCAGCCTTGCGTGAGCTTCACCTGAGCGCTGACTATCTAACGTTATGCGACAGTCGCGCGCGCATATTCTGATCTACTTGAATATGCCGCATGGTTTAACGCAGGATGTAGACCGGGTCAGTTTCTCGTCTTTCAGATGCCTAATCCCTGATCCGTCTCACGAAAGCCAGTGTATGTGCCGACGAGCACGGGACCACGTTAAAACTGTACAGCGGTGAGTCCAGATACGTCGCCTGATACTCTCGATGCTCACAATTCACACGCCCCTGCCCAGTTTCCCATAGAGCATAGTCTACTGGACAGAGTTGCTTCTTGAGTAATCGAGCTCTGGTCACGGTGTTAGGGTACTAAGCTTGAAGGACGCCCTGCTCCGTCCAACCATGAGAGTCCTCGTCCTACTCAGGGAAGAAAACAATATGCTCTCTTGAATTGTCGCTACATATGGCGATTCGCTTGGAACATATGTCATTCCATTGTAATGACTGTCACTCTGATTCTATGGGAAATCCTCGTATCTTCTACTAACCATACTTAGGGTGCACACTTCGACGGCTGTCATAAAGGCTGGGTCGACGTTCGGTTCTTTCCTTCCTCCGACACGGCCGCATTCTTACCTCATCTCATTTCCCATAGGTTGTGTTATGAGTAATTATCATACTGTGAAGGATGTTATTATCCCGCCTGTACCTGAACGTGGACGCACGTACGCAACAGGCCAGGCACGCTGATCAAGCAAATCTCGAGGCGTATGGGTATAAAAGTAGAGCCAGAATGACCTACTCTTCCTACATCAGGTCGAGCTCATCGTTTTTGAACAGTAAATATGCTCTCTCAACTCCTCGTCGCAGGCTACCTCGTGCTCTTTGCGGCGGCAACTCCGTTGACCGTCAGCCAGAGCCCGGTGACGGTCCCGCTGGCCCGTCGCTTCAACGCGACCGGACCGAAAACGATTATGGAGAGTGACCAGGCGAGAACGAAATTCCTCAAGCAGGGTGCCATGCAAAAGATCACCAATGCCGCTGTTTCCGACACTATCCCTGTCGCCGATCCCACAACTCACACCGGAGTCCAGTACACTGTGCTTGTCAGTTTGGCTCATTACGCTATACCGGGTGTCCTATACTCATGTCTAGTCTTCAGACTCAGGTCGGCAGCGATCCGACCACTTGTAAGTAATATTGCAGTCGTGCGATATTATACTAGGCTTAAGCCCTTTTTTTTGGCTGTGTAGACGCTCTTATTTTGGACATTGGCAGTGCCAACACTTGGCTCGGCGCGGATTTCCCTTACGCAGTAACGTCTTCCTCCCACGATACTGGTGTGGAGATGGTGAGCGGGAAATTGAGCGATTTGTTACCGGGCTGATCCCGTGGTTCAGTTTGTCCAGTACGCCACTGGATCCTTCTTCGGTAAATTTTGCCAGTTTTTGAGAGACGATGGAGGTTGTTGATTAGATGTCTTAGGCGAAGAATTCCTCGATCAGCTGTTCTTCGCATCATTCATGACGATTCCACAGCAAGCTATCGGTGTTGCCTCGTCTTCTGAAGCTTCGAAGAGTGGACGGCGTCTTGGGGTCAG